TGGAGTGTAATGCTGATGAGACAGACAAGCTGTTAGTTCAGTGGTTCTAAACTTTTTTTGGTCAGATCCCCCCTTTAAAGAGTGACATTGTCCGACTAACCTGGATAAATAAAGGCTAAATGAAATGAAATGAAATATTAAAATTAAAGGTTGCATGTCCTTTGTGCTTCTGTTTGTCAGTTACTTTGCTGTCAGTTACTTTGCTGTTGATACACTGGAATGTTTTTACTGAGGAAAAAACCTATATTCTATTTTGTTCTATTCTATTCTATTAAAAAAAAGCTTTATTCAATTCAGTTCAACCTTTATTTATCTAGGTTATTCACATAGAGCCTCAAGGACTCATTTACAAGAGAAACCTGCTTGTAACAAAAAGCACAGATGACCACAGTAGACAATCATAAAATAAAGCATTTAAACTGAGAAGAATAAATGAAAGAAAATGGTATTTAAAAAAAAAAAAAACATTAAAAAAACAGCTACATTTTAAAGTGGTGTAGAAAAACTAAAAACAGGAACATGTCTCCATTGTCTTTTACCATGAACTTTAGCAGATGTTTGAAGACACTCAGAGAGGTCAAGGTCGAGAGCTTCAGATCTTTTTTCAAGATATTCCAGGAAACAGGAGCGGAGTAGGAGAAGGCCCTTTTACCTAGCTCAGTCCTCACTGAGGGAACACTGCAGGTAATAATGTCCTGAGAGCGCACGCTGTAGCTGCACTCACGCAGAGACATGTAGGAGGAGATGTATGAAGGCAGCAGACCAAGAAGTGATTTAAAGATGAAAATGTACCAGTGAGAGAGTCTGAGTGAACTTTATATTTGTTTGTACTGTATTTGTATAACACCACATTACAGTAGCTATGCTAAGTTAAAGTTTCCAAAAAGTTTTGCATTTGCTATGGATTCACCAGGAACTGCAAATCTAAAAATGAGTTTTCTCATCAAAACCTCTGTTTGTTAAAAGGAGGTGCAAACACAAGATAAAATCTCTGTTAAAAAAAAAAATATCTGCATATGAACAGACCTAAGACAGACTTGGTGTGACATATTTTTGTATATGTTAGCTTAGCTGGGAACAGGCAAAGCTATTGAAGATATGAAAACTATTTTTTAGCATTTAACACTTAAGAACATGTCATGGAAAAATAATCATTTATTTTAAACTGTTCCACCAGTTTAATCTGACAATAAAATATTTTGAACTAATTTAAACTGTCTCATTCATACTGGCCTTGTATGCACTCTTACAATATAACACTTATATATATATATATATATATAGGAATGTATTGTGCACTTGGGAGTGCAGCTGGCCTTTTCTCTATTAAGCACATTTTGAGATGATAAAGGTCAAGAGTCTGTATGCTGATCATCATCTCATCCCATTCATTATAGCTCTGAACGGTCCCTCAGTCACAGAGCTGGAAACTGTTGTCATGCTGGCAGTAAAAGAAGATTTTAGGCATTACATTTAAAAATAAATGCTGAATTGCTTTAATTAATCATGAAATGGATATATTCTCCGGTGTCTTTTAAGAAATGCTGTTTCAACACCACTGCTTTGCTGCTAGGTGCCTATAAGAGTACAAATTTTAATTAGATAAAATGTAAGGCCATCGCAGATACTTGTGTAAAATTACAACAACAAAAAAAAACTGGCAGGATAATCAAACTGAAACGAGTCAGAATCACTTCTTTATTTCAGACGCACTAGAAACTAAAACATGTTTGCTTGGAAAATATCCACACTCCATATTAGTGAGGTCATACGATTCATTTCTATTGAAAACATTTCAACAAGACCCTCAAGATAAGGTATCAGGTTTTACAGCTCTCTACATCATTAGTTCACACGTGCACGGCGTCCCCGAGGACCTTTAATTTGAGTAGGAAAAGTCTGTTCCTTCGCTGTGAGGTTAAAGAGTGGGTGACAAGTGAAGAAAATCACAGCGGAATGCATTAATTAGGTAGACCTAAAAGCATATTTATCAAAGGCTAAGCCATGTGGGAATTATCTAAGAAAGGATCTAAAAAAGACAAGACAGGTTAATAGAATAAAAGGCCTTGAATAGAAAATGCGCTTATACATAAAATATCAAGCTGATCTCACATGTAAATGAATGGCTAGGTTGTGCGGATTCAACAATCGGACTCATGGAGACCAACGGTGACCTTTATGTGCTTTGACAGTGACGACTGGCATCTTACGTTCACTCTGATTAAAATGTCAAACCCTCTGACTTCATCCGTCTTCCCACATGCAATAGCTCAATATTTGCTCAGACTGACTGTACACACATATAACCCTAAAAATAAAATCAAATAAATAAATATTTCATGAACTCCCATGATCAGTAAACAGTGGCCCACGGAGGAAACAGCCCGGTGATTCTGGCTGAATCATCTAAACGGTGTCAATCACATGTGTGGAAAACGGAGGGCTTTGTTCCCTGGCAGCGATGACTTATGGTCCCTCGGAGGCGATTGAGACAGACGGAGGCTGATTGAGGGAGCTTATCTTTATGGTGGAGCCGTGGAATTGTTAACAGCATCTGATGGCTTGCGTCCGCTGAGCTGAGTGGGGAAATAAAGCTGCTGGGCTCCAGCTGCCTTGCCATCATTCTCAGAGGTAATGATCTCTGTCTGGCTCAGAGGTGAATAATAGTCTGCCCCCCAGCCATAGGATGAGGGGGGCGTTGACGCAGCATCACGGTCCGAGTTGAACTTGGACCGATGAGCACCAGTCAGATTATTTTGCTAAATTAAGGATTGTTATAATCTTGTTCCACTAAGAGTTAAACACCCCCTTAATATACATTTACAGCAATAATTAATCAATTCACTGCGCACATCCGAGTCTCGGAGGTGTCTTTGAGATAATTGTTCTCATTGACTTGAGTAATTATTTGTTTGCTGATTTAATTATGTTCACGTTTAGAAAACAAATGAATCTGTGCTGGTGTACACAGATTTTTCTTTTCCTTTCGATATCAGCAGGTTAAAAAGTGCAAAAAGATTTTTGACTATACGCATTAGACTGAAACACTAGTGTTATTGTAGGTGCTTTTCACAGACGGTCTGGAGAAATTAAATGCAGTCTGATTCAGAATTTATGTGATCGTGTTTTCTCTTCAAACCTCAGTATGAAGAGGGTCAATAAAGCATGAGTTGTTTCCACCTATAGCGTCAATACAAACTGAATCAAAGACTAATATTTCTCTGATAGAAGGTTAGCTCTGGGTTACAGACACAGTGTCCTCATTTTCTGACTGGCACGGTGAAAACGTTCGTCGCAGTCCTCAGTTTACGCCATTACAAGTACAAGTAAGAGCTTCCGGCTACTGTTGCAACCAGCACAAATTACGAAGGCCCATTTAATGGCACTCGCTACTATTTATCATGCCGTTTTAAATGTTTTGCTCATTTGTTTCCGTTAAATATTTCATCTTCCCTTAAATATTCATTTAACTTCCTCTTTAAATTTTTTACCAGTCTCTTTGCCGTTGCTATCTTTGTGCCTCCCTTTTAGGCTTTGCAATCATAAATAATAATTCATCTGCACCAGAAAAAAAAAAGGCACAAAAATCCTTTTTGTCTTTTCTCATTAGTGATATATTTTGGGTAGCGTAAATACTTCCCATTACCTCACTTATGGAAATTGGTTGGGGAACCTTCTTAATGATACTGTTTTTAAATCCAACTTCCACACATCTTTTCATAATGACATGTCAGGTCTGCTCAGGATGTGCACGTCTTGCTTTGTTTTTAAAAGGAAAAAATCCTACATCCTGAATGAGACATTGCAGCTACAGCTTCTGTGTCAGCACCAGCTGCTGGGCCTCGGAAGTTTAATGTCTGTATGGCCAACAACAGTGTGTTCAATGACAAATGCAATGCAGCACAATCAAACAACATGGTGTTTTTTTTAATATACAGTTATTTTCTACTGTTTTATTTTATATGAAAATTACCAGAAAAGTCAAATTTGTAAAAATCACATCAAAATAAAATGTAAAAAAAATTACAATTTTTAGTGTTTTTATTTTATCGTTTCTTTTTATTGATTTTCAGGTTATGTTGAACCTGACTGACAAATAAAATTACCTTTGCTAAACTGGTGAAATGTGTCTAAATTTGTTAGACAATTTCAACATGGCTCATTAGCAGACAGCGCCATGGAGGAAAGCAGGGAGGCGTAAACTCTCCATTTTCCTGGATTATCCTTTTGCAGTCAGGCCTAATGATCCAGCAGAGCAAATAGCAATGTGTTAATTAGAAATTAAACTGTATAATCTGCTGCAAACTGAGCGAGCCTTAACCACACCGCATCAATATATTGCAGCTTAATATAGATCTTAATTAGATTAGGCATTTCATTTTTTGTGTGGTAGGAAAATTAATTGACAATTAGACTAACACAATCCCCACATGACAGATTTTACTGTATTTAATGCACTGATATGACACCGATATGATTTAATATTCAATAGAACCACATCAGAGGGATGAATACTTCCATGTACCTGTATTTTAGGAATGAGGACAACACTGAAACAGATTGAATGTAACAATTACTGAATGACAAAGAGGAGACAGAAGCATTTTTATTGTTTATATTTTAGAAAATTGAAACTAGAAGGGGAATCACAATTGTTAGATTTCTCAAAACCCAAAACATACACTTTGTTTTCATACGCATATGGCATATTTTTATGAGATCAAGTTTTCCTTAGAGTGGGAGTTTATATAAGCTTCTGCCGCCACCTAGTGGTTAAAGTAGATCACTAGTAAAAAAAAAAAAAAAGTTGGATTAAATGGTCAAAGAGATTCTAGTCAGGTTAAATGATGGATTTTAAATATAGATAGATAGATAGATAGATAGATAGATAGATAGATAGATAGA